AGGGGAGGAGCCAAGACTGACGACCAATGATCTGATCAATCAGAGCAAAGAGGGGAGGAGCCAAGACTGACGACCAATGATCTGATCAATCAGAGCAAAGAGGGGAGGAGCCGAGACTGACGACTAACGATTTGACCAATCAGAGCAAAGAGGGGAGGAGCCAAGACCAGTCTGCATCTGATCCTGTGCAGCACACTGGTGACAGTAGGAAGGAAGACACCCTGTCAGCTAACTGTTAGCTACAATTAGCTTTAAGTTATATGTTAGCTTAGGAGGTCAGTGCTGGTTGAATATTTTACTAATAGGAGGAGGTGGTAGTCTGTCTCCTCCTGAAAACCATAAGGAGAACTGAGGAGTTGTCATGGAGCCGGTTGCCATGGTTACCACAGAAATATTTTGTTAATGTTTTTCTACCTTCATCATCATCATCCTCATCATCATCATCATCACCTTCACCTTCATCAGTCAGAACCAACTCCTGAGTCCTGTCCCTGTTTCATCTCAAACTGGACCAGACCGGACTGAGACCTGCTGACCCAGAACCTGAGGAGGTGGAGGAGGAGGAGGAGGAGGAGAAGGAGGGAGGAGGAAAATAAGGAGGCAGAGGAGGTGTTTTGTGTGAATCAATAAAAATGTAAAACTGATCTCTGGTCAAACTGAACAGAAGCTGGTTCTGGTTTTTTTTTTTTTTTTTTCTAAAAGTTTTCAGATCTGATCATCAGCTGCTCAGATCTTATGTTGTTCCATCTGTTCCTCTTCATCACTTCAGTCCTGCTCCTCTTCATCAGTCAGCTGAGACAGTCTGACCACTCAGAGACACATGTCCACAGAGACATGATCCACAGAGACAAGTCCACAGAGACATGTCCACAGAGACATGTCCACAGAGACATGATCCACAGACACATGTCCACAGAGACATGTCCACAGAGACATGTCCACAGAGACATGATCCACAGACACATGTCCACAGAGACATGTCCACAGAGACATGATCCACAGAGACATGATCCACAGAGACATGTCCACAGAGACATGATCCACAGAGACATGTCCACAGAGACACATGATCCACAGAGACATGTCCACAGAGACATGATCCACAGAGACATGATCCACAGAGACATGTCCACAGAGACATGATCCACAGAGACATGTCCACAGAGACACATGATCCACAGAGACATGTCCACAGAGACATGTCCACAGAGACATGTCCACAGACACATGATCCAAAAGAGACATGTCCACAGAGACACATGATCCAAAAGAGACATGTCCACAGAGACACATGATCCACAGACACATGATCCAAAGAGACATGTCCACAGAGACACATGATCCACAGAGACATGTCCACAGAGACACATGATCCACAGAGACATGTCCACAGA